ACTAACAAGTTCTGATTAACGTTCCAAATTTTCTAACAATTACCAAAAGGTTAACATTTCTGACTCTCAAAACTGACTTTGCAATTTAATTCACTTAACATTCGCATAACCAAACTAACATACTGAGTTGGATTTTCTTTTTTAATGGAAGCTAACACTTAACTAATTTTTCCTCTCTATAACAAAACTAACAGGAAAAGCAACAAAAAACTAAACAGAAATTAACAGCCATGTCCAGAATTTCTAACTACTTCTAACCAACCATCTAGTTAATTGTCCTGTAACTAATTCCCAACCAAATAACCGCATCTCAACAGAACCTCTAACTGCAACCAACCTTCCAAAACAACTTTTCATAACAGAAAATAACAGTTAACAAACTTTTCTACTCTACTAATAGAATAACCAATCTCAACTGTTTCATAACAAAATGCTAACAGTTTCCAATCCCTAACCGTCCTCTCTAACAGAATTTATAACATCTCAACTAACTATCTAATTTTTGTTACACTAACAACTGATCCTATCAGAATGTAACAGAAAGGGAGGAGGATACGATTCACTTCAAAAAGACAAAAGAGCTAGCAGAATTCATGACAAAGGAGGGAGGAGATAATAGATGGCTAACAGAAAATCAGATAACAGAAAAGGAGAGAGAGAGAGAGAGAGAGAGGTGATTCACGATTGATTATTCATTCGCACAGGAAAAATCAGTAGAAAATCTCACCTTTTCACGATTCCTTCTCCATTCTTCTGGCAGAATCACAAAAATACCTACAATCATTCTTCAATCTGCTGAAGAATCACCACACAAAAACTCCAGAAAACTCTCATCTTTCTCTCTTCATCTTCATCATCATAGTTCTTCAGCTTCAACACATAGCTTCTTTCATACTCTCCATCCACCAATTTGAATCTTCAAACTTCACCAACCTAATAACGATTCTTCTCATTGCAACATCTTCATAATAGTAACTACCTCTTCAAGTCTTCATCATCTTCTATGATTTCTTCACGACTCTTCAAGCCTCATCTCTTCAATTTCCTGCAACACACATCATTTTCATCGCAACTTCAATGACTGCATCAAGAATCTGCAACCATAAATTGATTCAACAATTATCATCGTTCTTCTTTCGATCAATATCTCTGCAAAAGAAACGCAAATCACGTGAAGCAGAAGAAGAATGTTGCATGAAGAGTAGGTGAAGCAAGTACCTAAAATGTTATTCCTGGATTTCTTGAATTTACACAATCGTCGAAGGGTCACTAGACGTCCTCCGGTAGAACAAGTCGTGACTAATGCTGTGAAACAAGTTAGAGAATCGTGACAGATTAAAGCCTGAGACGCAACAGAGGTTGAGAATCGCGATCGAAGACAGTTCGAGCAGGGAACTGAAGCGTGATACCACGACATAATCGGAAAGTATTGCAGTGATGGTGATTGAGTGATACAGTTGTTAAATATGAAGAGGAAGCGGAAGCCAGAGGCAAGGCAGAGAGGTTAGCAGCGCCGCGAGAGAGGAAGAGAATTAAGAAAGTTCAAACGTCAATGTAACCCTAAATCCAACTTCTTTTCTCTTGAATTTTAGTTATTTTATTTTATATTTTGATTTGAAATACAGAAAAATGATGGAAAATTGGGTGATGTTTGGACCGATCCACCCTCTCCTTGGCCCAAAGGAATTTTTTAAGAGCATGTGGATTGGGCAAAAAAGGAGTTGCTTCATGGACTTTCTTTTAGATTGGGCTTAGCAATAATATTCTGATTGCTTATACAGAACCTCCTGACTTCAGTCTATACCCCATCTATTTTACTAATTTTACCTTTCCATGTTATTAACTTTAGCTTCATTTTTTTCATGATTTTAATGATGATAATGATACAAAAATAGTAGAATATCTTAGAATTTTTTTGAGTTTTCTCTTTAGAATTTTATTAGAGTTTTCTATTATTTTATGTTTAATAATCATTTTCACATTTTTTAGCTAAGATTTTGTGATAAAATGATTGATATAATTTTCACAATGTGGAATGCTTGGGGATTAATTCTTTGATCACTCGCGCGAAGCAGCTTCTGTGGAGTTTTCTTATCGCTTGCATGGTTTTGAAGAGGCAACGGACCTTCTCCGTTTGGTATCATCGTGGCCTTATTTTATTCCTTATTTTCGCACTTTATCATACACCTTACCGCTTTTCTAAAAATCATGAGAAGTAGGAATTTACTGCTTTCTAACGCCATGAGAATTTGGATAGAGATGTATGATAGGAGTCTTCGTTGCTGATCATGTCAGGAACCCCTCTGGTTTATTTAAAGACTCATTTAGGGTAATTTCACATTGTTTGCATTCTATTTGCTACTTGTGTGTGGTTTGTTTAAAACCCTACCTTTGTGTAGGTATTCTGCAGGTGTATTTATATTTGTGCCTGCATTATTCCTCCATCCCTTATTGAAGTCCTCAAAAGGAGGCGAGCGGGGAGGGTTAGCAATCAACCCCCGTAATTTCGTCTGTGTCATCCTTAGCTCGTGACGCATCACGAAGCTTCAGAATTGTACCTGCTCTTATATATAGAGTCGTCAAGTGGGGAAGGGTTCTGCAATCGAACCCCCACGTTTTGTCAGGAGTTCGCATTGGACAATGCTGATACTCCGTGATTGTTCATATTGTTTTTTGTCGCTTACCTCGATCTCTTATATCTTGGTTAGGTGTTCAGTCGCTTTGGACATCACTTTTTGTTTCTTCATCTCACTCCCGCTTGTTTGTCTCGGGTGATACGCTCCCCTTGGCTAAAGCATTTCGATTCTTTTCCTTACTCTTTTATGTGTGTGCTCTTTTGAGCTTGCTTGCCTCATCCTTGTACATACCATGTTCCCTTAGGATGCGCTTGTTCTCTTCGGATGAAAGTTAGACCTTAGGTTGCAGACCATGCATGCTAACATTAGGTAGATGTTTCCCTTTTGATTAATCCAAACCTTAGGACTACCATTATATGATAACATTAGGTTAGAAATAGGCTAGTCTCCCTTAGACTCTTTTCTTCCCCTTTTACATATGCATTTAAAACTAAAACCTCTTTTCTTAACAAATAAAAAACATGCTAATCTTACTAAAACCCTTTTTCAAGGTAACAAAGCACAAACCAACTCAAACCTTTTTTCTGCGTCCAAGCACTTTTTCTCTAAAATTCTTTTCAGGTAAGGACATGATTAATTTACTTCTGTGCCAACGCATAAGTCTCCAAAGGTTGAGATGCGACAGAAGGCGAAATTAGCATCGTCCATAAAAAAACACAAAACAGACAAAAATATGTGAGCCGAACTACGGTAGCTCGGATTTCTCAAAAAGAATATGTAGGCATTGGGGTAGGGTCCAAGCGAGTACAATTTTATTTTCTCTACATTCTTTTCTCCTTTCTTTTGCATGCATTCTCCCTTTATCAGTAATAAACAGTAAGCATAGATTAAACACACCCATACGATTAGAACAACAAGAGTGGATACCGTAGAGTACTACGGGCGTGTGGGGGTGCTAATACCTTCCCCTCACGTAACAGACTCCCTTATCCGATCTCTCGGTCGCAAGACCGCGACTTCTCCCTTCTCAAGTTTTCTCGATGTTTATCTTTTCCTTCATGTGGGATAAAAGACGTTCGATGGCGACTTGATTGTTTGATAATTTTCAGCCGGTTGTTCCAACAAGCACAAACTCAAGTCGCTTGACTAGAGTCTAGGTCGCCTGACTTAAGTCTACGTCCATTATGGCCAGTCAATATTAAACATGACACATGAGTTATCCCTAAAAGGATTAATTTGGTCAAAGGGATAAAGGAGGAAACCGCTCCTCTATTCCGAGGGAACATGTCTAAGTTTTCTCATAAGGAGTTGAGGAAAATGTTGTTTCCTTTCCTAATTTGGCCCATAAATCGTGTCTATAAATACCCCAACTTTGAAGATTGAAGGACTCATTCACTCATTTGTACATATAATTCACGACACAAACACTCTTGTGATCGTTTCATAAGCAAGGTCATAATCATTGTATTTCTTGCAAGTACTATATTTTCACGGTTTGTCAGCTTTTTGATGTTATCAAATAAATTTGAAAAACACTTTAAATAATTTGAGTTTGTATGATTCTTATATTAAAAATTTAAAAGATTGATAAACCTTTAAATAGAAAATAAGTTTTAGTATAGCAACTCCAAATAATATTTTCTTCTTACTTATATAGTAATTCTGTAACAATTTTTGAACTATAGTAAATTGAAAAATTGTTTTCACATACTATTATTTGTGTCGTTGAAATTATTTCATTTATTGTTATTGTTTTTGTATCCCATACATCAAAAGTATGGACAACTTTAAGTGTTGTTTATATTCCATGGCTTCCGACAAGGCTCTTAGTCCACTATACTTTTGAAATTTGATTCAGGCATTAGAATGAATGAATAAAAAAACATGGTGACTTTCTTGGTAAATTCATATTTGTTTTCACCGGACTTTCTTAACCTACTGCACTTTTGAAAATGAGTTCTTAATTAGTCCGCTTTTGAAATTTGATTCAGTTTTTATAAATAATGAATGAATTAAAAAAACTAGAGTGCTACACCTTCTTTAGCGGCAATGAGACCGAGATAGTCACGCCACTCTTAGAAGTCGTCATTTAAAGATGTTGCTCTCTCATTTTCAAAATTAACATAATATAATACTTCCTCAAAATCTGGGTACAAATGAATTTGATTCAGTTTTTATAATGAATGAATAAAATAACTAGAGAATGGCACACCTTTCTTGACGGCAATTACACCGACAGAGAGTCTTCTACTAAATAATATTTCTTTTCTGCGACTCCGACACGGAAACGGTATTGATAAATATGGATCCACAAATAAATTATAGCAATCAATATGACAACATTTATATCTATCAAAATTGCGACCGGTTTTTAAGACCTAGTATTTATTTTTAAAATTTGGTAGCATTCTCTTTACATTAAGCATGAAGATATTACTAACCCAAAGAACTGTTTTGTTATCCATCCTCTTGTTCATTATTTCAGTTGCTATTACGAATGCAGAATACGAAGAGGCAGATTACATGTCCGATCTTATAAAATCACTCGCCCCAACTCCCTCTAACTGGTCTAATACCACTGACTACTGCAAATGGAAAGGCATCTTTTGCCAATCTAATCGAGTTGTTTCCATCAACCTTCCATCAAGCTCACTCACCGGAACACTCCCTCCTCATCTCTACCCTCTTACTAATCTCACTCACATCGATCTCCACAATAATTCACTCAACGGTGCTTTGCCTAACTTTTCTGGTCTAGGCAACCTGGAAGCCGTAAACCTTGGCCACAATAAGTTCAACACAATCCCAAACGGTTGCTTTCAAGATATTCCATCTCTTCAAGTACTTAACCTTAGCAATAATTTGAATCTACAACGTTGGTCTTTTACTAAGAATTTAATTGATTCCCTCTTTTTGCGTGTCCTCGATCTTGAAGCTACAAATATCGAAGACTCGTTACCATCGGATATGTTTGATCCCTACCCGAGGCTGCATACTGTTGTTTTTTCGTACAACAACATCATGGGACCACTTCCTCGGTCACTTGGGGATTCCGTAGTAAGATATTTAAGAGTCAACAACCAAAAGAATCCGAATGGTTTTACGGAAACAATTGACCTGATATCATCCATGAGATTCTTGTCTCAAGCGTGGCTTAACAACAACAGTTTTTGGGGTTCAATTCCTAACATGTTTACTTCAAAATATTTGTTTGATCTGCAGCTTCAATCAAATTACTTAAATGGTTTTGTTCCACCTTCATTGCTAGATCTCACTAGCTTGAACAACATCTCTTTGGACAACAATCAACTTCAAGGACCAATACCTGTGTTTCCCAAGCGCGTCAAGGCAACTTGGAAAGGAAATTATTTTTGTGAAAGCCATGCTGGACATTGTGATCCACAAATTACATTTTTGCTTCAGATTTTTAAAGATGCTGGATTTTCTCCTTTATTTACAAGGAGTGGAGGTAACCAAAGTGATGCTTGTATAGGCTGGTTTTGGATTAAGTGTCGAAGAGGGAAGATTGTGAGCGTTGATTTGGAGAACTACAGTATTTCTGGACCTATCTCTTCTGCATTTTCCAATTTAACAAGTTTAGTGAACTTAACTCTTGCTGGAAATAATTTGACAGGTTTTATACCAGACAGTCTAACAACATTGCCTCATCTTCAACTTCTTGATATTTCTCATAACAATCTGACTGGACAAATTCCCAAATTTTCATCCAAGGTTAAGTTATTTACCCAAGGAAATCCTTTGCTTCGCCTAAATATTTCCGGAGATGGTAGAGGTAAAAATGCAACTAATTCCGGATATGATGATGTTCAAACAAGAAAAAATGGAGGTGAAAATATTGGCTTAATTAAATATGTTTGGATAATAGGTATGCTTCTATACCCATTATATATTCCAATACTGTTTTGTTTTGCAAAATTTGGGCATGTGCAACTCTTGTTATCTAAATATTGTTCAGTGAACTTAATTATTTCTTTGCTGTTTAATTATATTACTAGATTAAGACTATTGTTGTATATTAGTTTATTTGTTTTTTATTCAATTTTAAATATATTATGAGTTGATTTTGACAAAATATAATTATTAAATTTATATTAGAAACATTTTTTGTGAATTAGAATAGAGACAATAATATAAATTAATTATATAAACAAATATACATTTCATTTGAAAAGAAAATACACGTAAAGTAAGAATGATATTTGTAACTTAGGTTTGTAAATTTATATAAGTATAAAGTGATTTTTTTGTGTTGTTTTGATTCTCATGTTTTTTTCGTACTTATATTTTAATTAGATATTTTACTTTAATTTGTTTTTTATATATATATATATATATATATATATATATATATATATATATATATATATATATATATATATATATATATATATATATATATATATATATATATATATATATATATATATATATATATATATATATATATATATATATATATATATATATATATTGTGTTAAATAAAGTTAAAAATTTACTTACAATTATTGTCAAATAAAATTTTCAAAAAATTTATAAAATTTATGTCTATTTTATCGAATTTTATAAGATTGTTGTATACTATATTATTTTTTAATATCAACATAAAGTGACTTATATTTGAAAATTATGTAAGAACTACTTTAAGATTAAAAATATTTATTTCAAGTGTTATTTTTATTGCTATAATTTCAGGAAAACAAATTTTTTTTTTGTGTTTAGATTTTGAATTCTCTTTCATTTTTGAAATTTGAGAGAAATGTTTTTAATAAAAGAGAATATACATAGTTGGAGTAATGATTGGCTTGTTAGACCATTTTTTCCAAAATAAGATAAAAACATTTTATTGTGTTTGAATTCTCTTATCTCTTTTGTGTATTATTTTGTCACTTGTCATTAGTTATTATTTCATATTATATAAAAAAATAGTACAGTATATAGACATCGTAAAATATTGTTGCATACTATATTATATTTTAAATAAGTTTAAAGTGACTTATACTTGATAATTATGTAAGAACTACTAAGATTAAAAGTATTTATTTTGATATCTACATAAAGTGACTTATATTTGAAAATTATGTAAGAACTACTTTAAGATTAAAAATATTTATTTCAAGTGTTATTTTTATTGCTATAATTTCAGGAAAACAAATTTTTTTTTTGTGTTTAGATTTTGAATTCTCTTTCATTTTTGAAATTTGAGAGAAATGTTTTTAATAAAAGAGAATATACATAGTTGGAGTAATGATTGGCTTGTTAGACCATTTTTTCCAAAATAAGATAAAAACATTTTATTGTGTTTGAATTCTCTTATCTCTTTTGTGTATTATTTTGTCACTTGTCATTAGTTATTATTTGATATTATATAAAAAAATAGTACAGTATATAGACATCGTAAAATATTGTTGCATACTATATTATATTTTAAATAAGTTTAAAGTGACTTATACTTGATAATTATGTAAGAACTACTAAGATTAAAAGTATTTATTTTGAGTATTAATTTTATTGCTATAATTTCTGGAAAACAAAAAATATTTTATTGTATTTGAATTTCCACATCTCTTTTATATTTGAAATATGAGAGAATATTTTTAATTTAAGGGAATATACATAGTTGGATTAATGATTGGTTTGTTAGATTAGAAGTATACGATGAAAATGAGTTTTGGGATGTGCCACATAGGATTATAGGATGATGTGGCAACTTTAGAATTATATTTGATGATGTGTTAGAGTTATAATTGATGATGTGTTGCTATAATATTTGATACATTAGATTTAATATATTACTAGATTTATATTATAACACTACTACGAAAAATACATTTAACAACAATTGGAAAAGATATATAACCATGCGGGATAAGACGTTGTTATGTAGCGTGTGGTTGTATATGTGGTACTTACCATCACGGTCCAACGATCGTTGTAATAATTTGGAAAGCGCGCGTCTTATAACAACGGTTATCCATAATAACCGTTGTGATATAATATTTGAATAAATGTCAAATTTTCATACCAGAATCAACACTAAACCAATTTTGAATTGATAATAAAACTTCTATTAATTACAAGTACACAAAATTTTCATCTTATATTAAGTAAATAATAAAATTTGAATAGTCCGAGAAATGCAATCTTTCCAACTTTTCAGAAAAAAGAATTAGAATTAAAGAAACAATGATGAGCAGCTTTGATTTTTAAACTTCCGAGATAAGAAGATGAAGAATCAAAAGGAACAACATAAAAGTGGAAGAACCAAGACACAAAACCATCTTCATCCAAAGGAATCAACATGTGTTATCCTACTCAAGCCACCAACAATGTTGAGAATTCAAATGTAGTTGTAGAGGGTGTTGTGGTGCCTAACCAACCTCAAAATCAAGATGTTGTTGTAGAAGTCAGTGTTGTGGTGCAAAACCATCCTCAAATTCTTGATGTTGTTGTAGAGGGTGATGTGTTTAGACTAATGAGAGCCCTCTGGGTGAGGAGGAGAAGAAGAAAAAGAAGAAGAGTAAGGTTGAGAAGGAAAATGATGACTTTTTTCGATTCTGATTCTGATGATAAGGCTGATATGTTTGGTCTAACTTTATCTCAGAGAGAGGATTTAGATTTGATTATGGTTTTTTATTATGTATATAAAGTTTATGAAATAAAGTATAATCTATCTGCTTAACTCTCTTAAGGTTATCAACTTAAACATTCAACTTAAACTATCAACTTAACCTATCAACTTAAACTTCAAAATATATAAAACACATTATTGTAACTGAAAATTATTGCGATGAACTTACTCGTAAGAAACAATCTGTTAATTGCATATTCTTGTTAAGTCTACTACATCTTCAAATCTTACATTTCATAACAAAGTACAGAAAATATTAAACATAAATGATATAAGATAACATAACGTTTTAAAATTTCAAACCCTAATTCAACTATTATATTTTATAACAAAGTAAATATTAAACAAAAAGGTGATAAGAAAACATAACATTTTCAAATTTCCAGAAAATCTCTATGGCTTCAGTTTGTTCTGCAAATTCTTGTTCTTCTTTTTTGAATCTGTATACATAACCTTCAAATACCCAACAAAATCAAACTCTGGCGTCATAGTACTCTCATATTCCAATTTTTATTCATCATCCAATATGAACAAATTACATGTTTCACTAGACCACCTATTTGGACATCTCCAAAAAAGTCTTCCTTTATTTTGACCCCTCTTTCATAGGAACGAAACCATACGACAGTCACAAGCACATAAATTTCTAGATCGAGATTTTACACTCTTGGAATGAGACATTGAGACGATTATGGACAACAATAATGCGTGTTATGGTTGTTTTCTTCTTCCCGACGACGTTGGAGTTAGGGTTTGTTTCTTTTATCAGTGGAAGAATTGGTACTTAGTGTTTAATATATACAAAGAATCGTTAGTATGTAACAACGGTTGTTCAAAAGAGCTGTAGTGATACACCTATTATTTTTTTATTATATATAAATATAATTGAAAAAGCGTGCATTAAAGTAAAAGGGAGAAACTATTTGAGGGAGTTAAGGATCGAACTCAAGAAAGCTAGACTGTATCACCGCAGTTAGTGAATTAACCGTAATTATAACCTTAAATTTTCAATTTAAAAAATGAAAATAAACTGTTAGCGTCTTAGTTTAGAGATGTCACTACGGTTTTAGGGCGAACTATGATAACTTTAACATTGTTGTTTGTGCATTTTGTATTAGTGCAATAATTTATTGTAAATTATAATTGAAACAATGATAAGAATTAATAAGAATTTGTTTTCACAAAAAATAATTGATAAATTTATATTATAATAATTTATTGTAAATTATAATTGAAACAATGATAAGAATTAATCACATTATTTAAAAGAAAAATACAGAGTGACATTTAAAATTTAGTTTTGTAAATTTAAGTAATTATAATGTGTTTTTTCTATTCTCATGTTTTTTTATACTTATCTTTTCTTTTTTTTAGATATTTGATTTTAATTGGTTAAAGATGAGTATTATTTTTAGTCTTAAATAAAATTTAAAGTTGATTTGCAATTATTATCCAATAAAACTTTAAATAGTTTTATAAATTTATGTCTATTTTGTCAAACTTTTTTATATGATGAATATAGGGTTGCAAATGCTAGTTACTAGATTAACTTAATTTGTTTTTTTCATGAATTATTTAATTTCTAATAATGAAATTATAAAAAATTTATTTGATTTTGTTGTTGATATTTGTTGAAATATGAGTGTTATTTTTTTAAACATTATTATTTTTGGTTTATTATACTCCCTGTAGTCTCTATTATAAAAATTAAAAAAAAAAGAGTAAACTATAATTTAGTTCGGGATGGTAAAACGGATTCTCTCTGTTGGATCGATCTGTTTGACTCATAATTTTTGATAGACTGAATTGAGATTTTCTGTTCAACGTTTTAAGTTGGTCCGTTCCGTCAAATACGTTTTAAAAATAAGTTAGGGTGAATTTTTCCATTGAGATTTTTTTAAAAAAATAATTTAGAATGAAAATTAGGTAGTGCATTAAGGAAACCAATCCAATAATTTTTTTTCTTTTTATTGATAAAAATAAAAAATGAATTGAAAAATTTGTTTTCATGTGATTTCGCTTATAATGATAGTGGATGCAAGTTGCAACCATAAAAGGCAATAACTTATGAGATATGAATTAAAAAAATTAAGAAATGATGAAATTGTAAACTTTTTTTTATTATTGTTTTGTAAAATAGTATAACTTTTAATATATTTTATGATTAAATGTTTGTTAATAAAGTAGTCGATCAAATAATAAATATAGTAGTATATTATTTTTTAAAAAATAGAATTAAAATAGTAAATCAAATTAAAAAAGAAATGTATAAAAATTTGACGGATCGGTCTACCAATTCATTAATAAACGTGATAGATTTGACTTTTGAGTTTCGACGTCTAAGTTGACTTGTCCAGTCCCATTTTTTTTTTTTGGGCGAGTTTAAACAGGACGAGACCCCTACTTTGCTGCCCATAAATTTAATTCAAGAAAACTCTTTATCGTCATATGTGAAAAATCAAAAATCTTATTATTTGTCTTTAGTTTATTATATGTATTGTTTATTATATGTATCGATGCGGGTTATTAAACATAGAATGATCATAAACATGAGGTGATAAGTGTTGGAATAATAACAAGTGTGAGTAAGTGGGGAAATAGTCTCATATAAGATAGGAATAGGAGACTTAAGCATATATAAGTGGGAGAACTCACTCACCTATCACCTTAAGATTTTAGGTGGATAAGTGGTGTGTCTCTCACAAAGGTGCTTATTCCTACACTATGTATCAAATGTTCTAGGAATGTGGAGACTTAAACATATATAAGTGGGAGAACTCACCCACCTATCACCTTAAGGTTTTAGGTGGATAAGTGGTGTGTCTCTCACAAAGGTGTTTATTCCTACACTATTTATCAATGCTCCTAGTATCTCCCCCCAACAGTCTCTCGGTCCTAAGTCTCGAACCGTGTTCCACATGGTTATAGATTCAACTTCTAATCAAGAACAGGCTCTGATACCACATGTTGTTTTTCTCAGTATTCGACTGAGTGTTCACCAGCAACAACACAACAACATCAACACAATTTCAAGTGAAAACTATCAACGATGGGTGACACAAATGAATGTTATTTTCAGATTTCAAGATGTAGAAATATTGAATGATGGAATATCACAATTGGAAGTGAATGTTACGGAAGCCCGGACAGCTACGAACAAAGATCAAAGGAAGAAAGATGGCAAGATGTTGTTCTTGATTTACCAGTGTGTGGATTGTGATGTATTTGAGAAGATAATCGAAGAAGAAACAACAAAAAGAGCTTGGAAAAAGTTGAAGTCCTTGTATGGTGGAGATGAGAAATTGAAGAAAGTGAAGTTGCAGACTCTGAGAAAGCAGTATGAGATGCTGTAAATGAAAGAGGAAGAATATGTTTCTGCATATTTCTCAAGAGTAGTGACGCTAACAAACCAGATGAAGGCGTGTGGTAAAGCGTTAACGAATCTGCAGAAGATAGAAAATATATTGAGATCTTTAATTGCAGACTTTGATTACTTTGTTGTAACAATTGAAGAGGCCAAGAATCTATCTGAGATGAAGTTGGAAGAACTTCAAGTTTCATTGGAGGCCCACGAAATGAGGTTGCAGCAGAGAAATTCAGAAAGAGAGAAGACAGCTGAACAAGCATTGCAATTAAGATTCAGCAAGAAAGCTGGAAAAGAGAAATCGAAGCAGCGAAAGAATCTTGCTGGTGATGAGAAGTCACGCAAGAATATTGATTCGAAAGGAGTGGGCAATAAGTATTCTGGGAAGAAAGTTGACACGAAAGAGGTGCAATGTTACAATTTTCAAGGTTTTGGCCACTATGCTAGAGACTGTCGAAGAAAGAAAGCTGCAAAGTCGAAAGATAGTGATGAAGCTCAATATGCACGAGCTGGAAGTAGTGATTATGATGATGTATTGTTGCTGGTGAACACTCAGTCGAATATTGAGAAAAACAACATGTGGTATCAGAGCTTTTGGTTCGAGAAAGAGACCCGAAGAGTGGGGGAGTATTGTGGACTCACATTTGAGGGAGAGTGTTGGAATAATATAACAAGAGTGAGTAAGTGGGAAAATAGTCTCACATTGAATAAGAATGTGGAGACTTAAGCATATATAAGTGGAAGAACCCACTCACCTATCACCTTAAAGTTTTAGGTGGATAAATAGTGTATCTCTCACAAAGGTGTTTATTCCTACCGTATATATCAATACTCTTAATATCTCCCCCTAACAATAAATTCTCTCTAATTTTTCCGTTATGAACAATTGAAATCAAGTATAAGAGGTTAAAGCTCAGTCTAACTTTTCCTCCCGTACCCAAGCTCTTAAACCAAGTGAACAGATAAACTTCCATATAAATGTCTAATAACCCTGTATCTAACACAGCTGATCTAAAACCATTATTTAAATTGTTTATTTTAACATCACTAATTATTTATTTTACTTTTGCGATGATAAAATAAAATAATTATTGTTTATAATTATCATTCACTTTTTGCAAGCATGCAGGAGCAATTGTTGGATTTATAATACTTATTGGATTGATTGTTTACTATGGTAAGAAGTGTTTTATTTTAGTACAAAGGTGGATATTTAGGGGAACAACAAAATCTATTAATCATAATGTGGAGAATTTTATGGAAAGTTATAAATTGTCAGTGCCGATAAAACAATATAGATATGCAGAAGTGAAAAGAATGACAAACTCATTCCGAGATAAATTAGGTCAAGGAGGATATGGGACTGTGTACAAAGCAAGCTTATCTGATGGTCGTCAAGTGGCTGTGAAAGTAATAAAAGAGTCTAAAGGAAATGGAGAAGAATTCATAAATGAAGTTGCTAGTATTAGTAGAACGTCACACGTCAATATTGTCTCGCTTTTGGGTTTTTGTTATGAGAACAAAAGAGCGCTAATATATGAATTCATGTCCAAAGGGTCATTGGATAATTTCATCCTTAAAAGTGGATTTTCTGATTCTGTTTCTAGTTTGGATTGGAGCACATTATCCAAAATTGCAATGGGCATTGCTCGTGGATTAGAATACTTGCATCAAGGATGTATTTCAAGGATATTGCATCTTGATATCAAACCTCAAAATATTCTTTTGGATGAAGATTTTTGCCCAAAAATATCTGATTTTGGACTGGCTAAAATATGTCAAAGAAATGATAGTGTTGTGTCAATACTTGGCGCGCGAGGAACTATAGGATACATAGCACCAGAAGTATTTAGTCGAATAAATGGCGGAGTTTCTCACAAATCAGATGTATACAGTTATGGTATGTTAATTTTAGATATGATTGGAAGAAGAAAGAGTTCGGGCGCGAGAGATTCATGTACTTCTGAAATGTACTTTCCAGATTGGATTTATAAGGATCTTGAGCAAGATAATAACTTTGTGAATTGTGTAGCAAATTCTGAGGAAGAAAATGATATGGTGAGAAAAATTACTATGGTAAGTCTATGGTGCATTCAAACAAACCCATCAGATAGACCTTCAATTAGTAAAGTAATAGAAATGCTACAAGGACCACTTCGGTCGGTTCCATATCCTCCGAAGCCTTTTTTATATTCTCCTGAAATTCCAATATTCCAAACTTCATGTGTGCCTTCAAGCAGTTTCTCAGAGACAAAGTCATCAACCTTATCGGGGAATGGTTCCTTGAAAACAAACAAGTTCAGCAAAGACAACAATGAAATTGTGATTGTAATGTAAAAAGAACTTGTTGATATTTGAATACAACTTCACATATACTTTGCATAAACAATGAAAATGTGATTGTAATGTAAAAAGATGACACATATTGTAGTTTAATTTTTTAATATAATATTAATTATAAAGTAAGATTAAATATGACATGCTTAATAATCATAAATAACTAACAGATAGATATAAGGTTTAAAACTTTTAAAATGACATTAATGATAGAATAAATTTTTTGAATAGATGGGTAATAGATTAATTATTATGTATTTTTTTTATAAGCCAGTACAACACAACTATTTAAAAATGTTATTTTCTAAATAATTAAAATAAAGGTTAAATATTATTAAAATTTTAACAGTCATGATTAATTAATAATGTAAAATTTATTTACTGTCGGTGCATACGAATTAAATTCTAACAATAAATAGTAAGAAATTAAATTTTAATAGTTTTTATATGACACTAATTATAGAATTAGAGTTTAAATCAATAAATAATTACCAAATAATGAAAAATGATGTTTTAAATTCTTAATGATACTAATTGTAGAGTAAGAATATTGATTGCTAGATAATTATTTATTGCCCCAGAATACTTTGGATGAGATGGTAAAAAATCTCTTTCATCTTAATCAGAGATATTGAGTTTGATCCAGATTTTTGATACGCAACAATGTTATGAATACGTGATTTTACCTCAGTTAATTAAGGGGTTTTACCTCGATTTGATATGTTTATCTATTTTATGCTACTTTAATGAAAAATATGTATGAATTTGTAATTGTTAAGATATGTCCTATTAGGACTTTTGTGATGCATTGCACTATTAATCTGTTGATATCCTTATGAGATTTTTGTGATAGATTGCACCATTAATCTGTTGGTGGGCAATGTTGCGATGGCGGTGGTCGGTGGGGTGTCACACTTGCGACTGACAGGGTTCGGTAAAGTCGTGTGGCGATAGAGAGCTCTCCAAGTTAGTTTTCAAAAGGTTTTGAGCACACTTCAAACCGGTAGTTAGAGGCACCATTTCCCATAACTCAAATTACTGTGATGATCCTTGTTGTTCATTGATGCTTACTACATCCTTAATTTTCATTGTTTGATCCATTAGCTATGTTTGTTTTTGAATTTTGCTTTTGAAGCTCTTTCTGGTTTTTCTCAAATCGACTACACCACAGTTTAAATAAATTTTTCGCAAGGATATGGTTGAGATCGTCTCATTGAGACGCTTCTGATGATACCAATTTCATAGGCAATAGTTCCTCTTGTAGAAACACCAAATTGCCCTAGTTTTCTGCAAATTTTTGAAATCTTTTAATTGACTTGACTTTCTTTGCTTCAGTGCATGCGCTTTGAATCACTTCCACTGTGCATCCACACCTCTAGACCATTGAATTTTCCACGCTAGGAAAGTGAGAAGGATGAGACGCCTCTCATTTTTTCCGATTTAATTTATTTTCTTTTTATTTGATTTAATTGTTTTTATCTTTAAAAATTAATTACTCTTTCATTTTAATTTAAAAAAATATCAAAATTATTTCTAAAAACTTCTCCTCTTTTTCTTCTTCTGATCCATATTTTTGTTTATTTTTTATTTGACTAATTTTGATAAGTTTTTGAATGTTTTCTTAGTTTTAATTGGTTTAAAAATATTTTTCATACTTTTTAAATTCTCGAAAAAAAATTACATGATTCTATGAAGGTTTCTGACCTATAGTGATTTTATTTGACTTTTTTGTTGGTCTTACTATTTTTCATCCTTTTTGATCTTTTTGCCTGATTTTAAAATAGTTTCTAATTTCTAAAAATTATGAAAATATTTCTATAAATATTTTGAGGTATTTCTAATTTTTCTGTGCCTCTGGATGCAATTTATTTAATGGTTTGATGTAGTTTTCTATTCTTCCCCTTATTTTTCATTTTTAAAACAATTGAAATTTTTTATTATTATTATATTTTGTTTGTTAATTACAATTTTAATTTTGTATATTCTGATTGGCTTGGATCTTGATCATTGAGGTCATGAATTTCATCAACATCAATGAAATTTGGATGATTGATTTTGATGAAATTAGATCTAATTCTTGATCCAATTTGAGATTTATTGTATTGTTCAAGTTATCTCTGCTCCATCTCTTTCTTCTTCTTTTTATTTTTGGATCAATTGGATGATGATTGATTCATCTTTGTTCAGTTGAATTTGAATTGGTGCTTGATGAACTTTCATCTTATTCAAGTTAATTATCAAGTTACTTATCATAAAAGGTACATATAGCACTTCAGTGATATTGGCCTTTCGACCATCCTTCCTGACAATCAAAATATCTCCTTTACCACCTGATTTGATTTAATCACCTTTTCGACTGAACCATCTAACTTGGTAAACTAGTTTTTATTGCCAGTTATGTGGTTGTTGCATCCTGAATCCAAATACCACATGTTGTTTTTCTCAGTGTTTGAGTGAGTGTTAACCATCAACAACACATCATCAGAATCATTATCTCCAACTCGTGCATATTGAACTTCATCACTATCTTTCTTCCTCGGTGCTTTCTTTCTTCGACAGTCTCGAGCATAGTGACCAAAACTTTGACAATTGTAACACTACACCTCTTTCTTGTCAACTTTCTTTCCAGAATATTTATTGTTCACACCTTTTTTAATCGAATCAGTATCTTTCTTGACTTCTCATCACTAGTAAGATTCTTTCGCTGCTTCGACTTCTCTTTTCAAGCTTTTTTGTTGAATCTTGATTGCAATGCATGTTCAACCACCTTCTCTCTTCCTGAGTTTCTCTGCTTCAACCTCATCTCACGAGCCTCTAATGAAGCTTGAAGTTCTTCTAACTTCATCTCAGATAGAGTCTTGACCTCTTTAATTGTCACAACAATGTAGTCAAAATCTGCAGTTAGAGACCTCGATACTTTCTCTATCTTCTGCAGATCTGTAACCGATTCACCACATGCATTCATCTAGTTTGTTAACGTCACAATTCTTGAGAAATATACAGAAATTGATTCATCTTCTTTTTCATTTGAATCATCTCGTATTGCTTTCTCAACGTCTCCAACTTCACCTTCTTCAATTTGTCTTCTCTGCCATAGAAGCTCTTTAGCTTTTCTCAAGCATCTTTCATTGTTTCTTCTTCAATTATCTTCTTAAATACTTCAGAATCCACACACTGGTGAATCAAGAACAACGCTTTACCACCTTTCTTCCTTTGATCTTTGTGCGCAGCTTTTTAAGCATTTGTCGCATTTGCTTCCAGTTCTCGTACTCCATTCAAGATTTCAACAACATCTTGAAATCGGAAAATAACCTTCATCTGCGCAACCCACCGCTGATAGTTTTTACCTTTGAAAACCGGTAGATTTGCTGGAAATTGCGTTTATGTTGTTGTTCCGTTTGTCATTAGATTCTCTCTGAATCGCAACCGAGCTCTGTGATACCAATTTATTGGAACAAAGGGTTTTCAAGAAAGATGATTTAAGAAAGAAGAGGAAGAAGAGAGAGAAGCGAGATTGAAAGGTTATTATAAAACTGTAACAGAAAAGTGATTTGTGAAAATCTGTTATTGATGTGATATACTAATTACAAACTAACAAGCCCTTTATATAGACATACAATCTCCAGACCCAAAACGCAATTCGACGCATTACAAGACAACTATATTTGACCATGTCAAATACAGCTGACAACCTATCCACGCAACTAATTCGACATACTACTTATGCAGACATTTCGATAGATATGAATTACACTATCTAACAAAAGACACGTACGATTGTTGTAATGATGGCAATTCAGAAGAATATAAGTAAGGCTTCAAAGGAAATGGAATTGAAGGCTGTGAACGTTGTAGCATTTCTATTACTTTACTCATCGATGGTCTATCTGACGGATTTGTTTGAATGCACCATAGACTCACCATAGTAATCATTCTTACCATGTCATTTTCTTCGTCTGCATTTGCTAAACAAGTCACATTGCTATTATCTTGCTCAAGATTCTTATAAATCCAATCTAGAAAATACATTTCAGAAGTACATGATCCTGCAGTATCATAATTCTTTCTTCTTCCAATCATTTCTTGAATTAACATGCCATAACTGTATACATCTGACTTGTGAGAAACTCCATCATATGATCGACTAAATACTTCTGGTGCAATGTATCCCATAGTTCATCTTGTTCCAAGTAAAGACACAATACTATCATTCCTTTGGCATATTTTTGCTAGTCCAAAATCAGAGATTTTGGACAAAAATCTTCATCCAAAAGAATGTTTTGGGGTTTGATATCAAGATGCAGAATTCTGGAAATACACCCTTGATGCAAATATTCTAGTCCTCGAGCAATGCCAATTGCAATTTGGTAATGGTTTCCAATCCAAACTAGAAATAACATCAGGAGATCCCTTTTAATGATGAATGTATCCAATGATCCTTTGGACATGAATTCATATATGAGTGCTCTTTTTTTCTCATAACAAAAACCCAAAAGCGAGACAATATTGACGTGTGACGTTCTACTAATGCTAGCAACTTCATTTATAAATTCTTCTCCATTTCCCTTAGACTCGTTTATTACTTTCACTGCCACTTGACGACCATCTGGTAAGCTTGCTTTATACACAATACCATAGCCTCCTTGACCTATTTTATTTTTGAATGAGTTTGTCATTCTTTTCACTTCTGCATATGTATACTGCTTAATGGGCACTGACAAATTATAATTTTGAATAAAATCCTCCACATCATGGTCACTAGATTTTATTTACAAAAATAAGACTCCTCTCATGGTTACGAATAATAACCACAATTAATATTACAAATCCAACACTTAACAACGATGCTCCTGCATGATAGAAAAAAAGTGAATGATATTATAAAAATTATTAATTTCTTTAACAATCACAGAAGCAAATGGAGTAATTTACTGAAGAGCATTGTGGTCCAAAGAGATGTTGTTCAAAACTAGTGAGGGCGAGCAAGGAAGGTGGAACCAAACCAGCTAAGTGATTATTCTTGAGCTGGAGATCAGACAAATAAGTGGAGTTAAACGTGGTAGGTATTGGACCTTTGAACAAGTTATTGCGAAGCCACGCCTGAGACAAGAATCTCATGGATGACATCACATCAATCGCACCCGTAAGCCAATTAAATCCCTGGTTGTTGAGCCGTAAACACCTTACTCTAGATTCACCGAGAGATAGGGGTAAACTTCCTATAATGTTATTATGGGAAAGAATAAAAGTATGCAAAGTTGGAAACGTATTAAACATTTCAGATAGTAATGAATCAATCATGTTAGTAGCTTCAAGATCAATGGTTTCCATAGAGGTGGAAAATGCTATGTCAGCTATAGGAAATGCCCATGGATCTAGATTCAGGTTGTTGCTAAGGTTGAGGGTTCTGAGACCATGCGTGAGTTGAAAGCAACCGTTTGGGATTGAGGTGAAGTTATTGTGACCGAGGGAGACTGTTTGAAGCGCGTTGAGACCATAGTAATTAGGTAAAGAAGCGATGAGAGAGTTGTTATGAAGATCAATATGGGTGATATTAGTAAGAGTGTTGAAGTTGGGAGGGAATGTTCCGGACAGTGAACTCGATGGAAGTTTGATGGAAACAACACGACTAGATTGGCAAAGGATGCCGTTCCATTTGCAATAGTGAGTATTGTTAGACCAGCCCGATGGAGTTGGAGTCAGTGCTTTCATAAAATCAGACATGTAATCTGCATTATCTTCGTCTCCATTAATAATAGTAACGAAAAAGGAAAAGATGAAAAAAGATTGATAAAAAAATGTCTTCATGTTTAATTAGTTACTAGCACTCTAGCAGAGTAGCTACTAGCAAGTCTTGTTTATGTGATGCATGAGTTACAAGAAAGAATAATACTCCATCCATCACAATTGACTTGAAAGAGTAACTACTAAAATGTTATGAGTAAATTATTATTTCCTCCAAAGTGTGAATCATGGAAAGCCATCAGTGTTTTTTCATTAAAAATAGACAAAGGAAAAGACACATGTTTTAATTTTACTATTATTAAAAAGTAAAAAAAGTGATTAGCATGTGAAGGAGGTTAAAATATTATATAAATAAAATAAATTCCCCATTAACTCGAAAAATCATTCAATATTCCTTATTTGATTATGAAAAGAAGTATATTGAAAGTTGCCGGTAAATGACATTTTTTTCCAACGAAGATAGTTGTTGAAAAGGTTATAGATGTGAAGATTGTTAGAATTAATTTAGATTTAATTAGATATTAATTTATATTTAGGAATATTTTTTAGATTGTTTATATCTTTGTTAGAAGATATATATCTTAAATCTTCTTAAATTTTTGTAGAAGATATATTTTAGATTTAATTTTGTGTATAAATAGCCTAATGGAACAGGTTATTAAAAATTCATTGTAAATCCTTTTTTTTAGCTATCAGTAAAGATTTCTTTTGTCTTTTATCTTTCTTGTGTTCTAATAATTGGTATCTAGAGCTCCGGTTCAAAATCCACGGAAAAATAAGTATTGTGATTAAGAATTACAATATTCTGATTCTGGGGATTTTTTGAGAAAATATTGATTTGGAAAACTCTGCGTAAATTGCATAAGGTAGAAGATGAACGAAAACGGTGGCGATATTCATTCCAAGCTTCCAGTATTTGATGGCAAAAACTGGAATCGTTGGAAGATCCAGATGCACATATTATTTGGTTCTCAAGATGTGTTAGAACTTGTTACTGATGGCTATAATCTGTTAGAAGCAGATGCAACAGAGGCCCAGAAGATAGCACAAAAGGCGCTGAGGAAGAGAGATCAGAAGGCATTGTTCTACATCCATCAATGTGTGAATGCGAATATGTTTGAGAAGATTGCTGATTCTGAAACAGCGAAGGCTGCATGGGACACATTAGTCAGATGTTACGGTGGTGACGCAATAGTGAAGAAGGTGAAGCTTCAGTCTCTCAGAAAGCAATATGAGAATCTCAACATGAAGGACAACGAGAAGGTTTCTGAATACATTTCTAGAGTGATTCTGATCACTAATGAGATGAAAGCTTATGGAGAAACTCTGTCTGAACAGGTAATCATTGAGAAGATCTTGAGATCTTTAACTTCTCAGTTTGATTACATTGTGGTAGCAATTAAACATTCTAAATATCTGAGCACCATGAGAGTTGAAGAGCTGCAAAGTAGTCTAGAGGCGCATGAGTTGCGTATGACTGCAAGAACTTCTGATAGGGAAGTAGAGCAGCTGGCTCTGAAAGTAACTTCTGGTAAGAAGCATTAGAAGCAGACTTGGTCAGAATCCAGGAAGAAAACTAATGATGGTCAAAAGTCAGAAGCTTCAAATTCTGATAGGCAGAAGAATGTCCAAAAGGGAAAGGAGAAGTCTGACAAGAAGAATGTTCAGTGTTACTGTTGCAAGAACTTTGGACACTATGCCAGAGATTGATGGTCCAACAAAGAAAGGAAGTCAGAAGAAGCAAATATAGCAAGAAGAGACTCTGATGATGAACCTGTGCTATTGTTGGCTTCTGAACCTGATGATCTGAATTCATCAGAATTGTGGTATATGGACACAGGGTGTTCAAACCATCTTACTGGAAACAAGAAGTGGTTGGTTGACTTTGACTCTGGAAAGAGTACAAAGATCAGCTGTGTTGATGATAAATACCTCAATGTAAGAGGCATGGGAAATGTCAAAATCATTTTAAACAATGGGAAAGCAGCAGTGATCCAGAATGTTTGGTATGTATTTGGCATGAAAAGCATTTTGATGATTGTGGGACAAGTGGTTGAGAAAGGTTTTTCAGTTACCATGAAGGACAATCTTCTGAAGTTGTATGACTGCAATCAAAAGCTGATTATAGAGTCAGAGCAGGGAAGGAACAGAACATTCAAGGTGAATGTTAAAACTACAGACTCTGAATGTCTTAGTGCAACAAGTGTTGTCAAGGAGAGTGAGTTGTGGCACAGAAGATTTGGTCATCTGAATTTCAGAAGTTTAGGGCATCTGAAATCAAAGAATCTGGTACATGGAATTCCTACAATCAAGAAGCCTGAAAAGTCATGCAAGGTGTGCATGGAAGGGAAGCAACCAATATTACCCCTTGCATCAGAAGTAGCTCCAAGAGCAAAACATGACTTGGGAGTAGTACATTCTGATGTGTGTGGTCCGTTTCCAGTAGCATCGACTGGAGGGAATAAATACTTTGTCATTTGTTGATGAGTTCACCAGAATGACACAAGTATCTCTCTTAAAGTTCAAAAACGAGGTGTTTGCTGAATTCAAAAAGTTCAGACTGAAGGCTGAGAATCAGAGTGGCCTGACTCTGAAAATTCTTAGAACTGATGGTAGTGGTGAGTATAACTCCACAAAATTCAGAAGTTTTTGTGAGGAGAGTGGAATTGAGCATGAGGTTACTGCTCCATATACTCCTCAACACAATGGTCTTGCTGAAAGAAGAAATCGTACTTTGCTAGATATGGTGAGAAGCTTGCTGAAAGAGAAGAAGCTTCCTCATACTCTGTGGGGAGAATCTGTTGCAACTGCATGTTATTTGCTCAACAGATGTTCAATTAAGAAATTAAAGGAAATAGTTCCTATTCAGAAGTGGACTAGAGATAAGCAAAGTGTTAGTCATCTGAAGGTGTTTGGTTCTGTATGTTACAAACATGTCCCAGAAGCCATAAGACAGAAGTTGGATGATAAAAGTAAAGTGATGTTGCTGGTGGGGTATCATAGTACAGGTTCGTACAAACTTTATTGTCCAGAAACTAACAAAGTTGAGTTCAGCAGAGATGTCATTATAAAGAATCAGAAGTTTGGAATTGGGAAAAGTCTCGTCCTGACTCTGATGACAGAACTTCTGAAGAAAGGTCAGAAGCACATGTTTCTGAAGCTGGTAAAGACTCTGACTCTGAAGAAGATACAGAAGGAGAAGATGATTTTGACTCTGACTCCGATGGTGATCCATACTCTGAAGACAATCAAGGTTCTGGAGAAAGTCCAATTGCTGAAGCAAGTGATTCTGAAGGGGAAAGTTCTGGTGTCCAAAGTTCTGAAGGTCCAGTTCAGAGGCAACAAAGAGTCAGAAGCATCCCAAGAAGATTTGCAGAGTTTGACATGTTGCTAGACACTAAAGTAAACTCTGAAGGAGAAGTTATTCAGTGTGCAATGTTAGTAGACTTTGAACCCGTGAGTACAAAAGAGGCTCTTAAGCAGCAAGTTTGGTTACAGGCCATGAAATAAGAACTTTATGCTATAGAGAGAAACAAGACTTGGAAGCTGACAGAACTTCCAAAAGGAAAGAAAGCCATCGGCGTCAGATGGGTTTTCAAACAGAATCTAAATCTAGATGGATCAATTGGCAAACACAAAGCGAGATTAGTAGAAAGAGGCTTCCTACAAAAGTCTGGGTTGGATTACTTTGAAGTGTTTTCACCTATAGCGAGACATGAAACAATCAGACTAGTGATTGCAATAGCTACTAACAGAAATTGGCCTCTGATGCATTTAGATGTAGAATATGCATTTCTGAATGGTCCATTACAAGAAGAGGTGTACGTTTCACAACCTCATGGATTTGAGAAAAAGAATCAGGAAGGGATGGTGTTCAAATTACACAAAGCATTGTATGGATTGAAGCAAGCGCCCAAAGCTTGGAATTTGAAGATTGATTCGTTTTTCAAGGAACAAGGGTTTCAGAAGTGTGAGATGGAGTATAGTGTTTATGTTCAACACACTTCAGAAGATAATATGATTCTGGTCTGTTTGTATGTTGATGACATACTACTTACAGGAAGTTCTGAACAAGAGATAGTTGAGTTCAAAAAAGTTCTGATGAATGCATTTGAGATGACAGATCTTGGAAAAATGAGTTTCTCTCTAGGGATGGAATTTATGTACTCTGAGAAATGAATCATTTTACATCAGATGAAGTATGAACTAGAGCTTCTGAAGATATTTAAGCTAGAAAATTGCAAGGTTGCTATCACACCTGCTGATACGAATCAGAAGTTGGACTCTGATTCTGATGGAGAGGATGTGAATGCTACAACCTTCAAACAGGTGGTTGGTTCTCTAAGGTATTTGTGTAATACCATACCTGATATTTGCTATGAAGTTGGAATGGTTAGCAGATTTATGAGTAAACCAAAGTGGTCCCATTACCAAGCTGAATTCAGGATTCTGAGATATGTGAAGGGAACTCTGAAATATGGAGTGTTATTTCCGTCTGGAAGAAAGATCGAATCAGAACTTTTGAGTTATTCTGATTCTGATTGGTCCGGAGATAGAGTTGACAGAAGAAGTACTTCTGGGTACTTATTCAAATTTCTAGGAGGTCTTATTTCTTGGTGTTCTAAGAAGCAACCTGTTGTTGCTCTGTCAACTTGTGAAGCTGAATATATTGCAAGTGCTCTGACTGCATGTCAAGCTGTGTGGATTCTGAACTTGCTAAAAGATCTGAAGATTGAGGTAAATAAACCTCTGAAGCTGATGATTGATAACAAGTCTGCAATCAATTTTGCCAAGAATCCAGTGTTGCATGGGAGAAGCAAGCATATTGACACCAAGTATCATTTTCTGAGGAATCAAGTTCATAATGGAATATTAGAGGTTGTGCACTGTAGCACTCAGAAGCAGCTGACAGATGTTCTGACAAAGACTATCAAAACTGATCAATTTCTTGGTTTAAGGGATGGAATTGGTATTGTCAGTTTTGGATAAATATAAATTAAGGGATGGTGTTAGAATTAATTTAGATTTAATTAGATATTAATTTATATTTAGGAATATCTTTT